TAAGCTTTAGCTCCTCTACCTGGTGAAAATCTGATATTAATAGGTCCCGCATAATCTACACCAGCTGATCTGAAAGGTCTGCTGGGTTTTACACGTACCTCTGGTAGTTGGCCCATCAACTGTACAGCATTGTTTTTTGCATATCTAATACAAGTTGTACATTCTCGGTAATATCCTTTTACTTGATCTTTAGCTCGCAGTATCCAGTACTTCGACCTCAAGTAATTTAGCATTACTTGTGGTCCACCATGCATTGTGCTCTGATGGGCATCCTTAATTATTAGTTTACTAAGATGGCTCTTAGCAGGTAAAATTATAGGATGCCTTGCATCATACTCCGCTTGCGACTGTTGAATACGTCCGCCAACTCTTAAAATGCCATTATCATCGATAATGGGACAAAGATTGCGTAGTTTGCTCCTTTTGAGAACACTACCTTGGGATTTTAGCTGCTTTATTTCTTGATTAAATTCTATAGCTTGGACTTGTTTAATGCAATTGTTTAAAGTTTCAGTTATTTCTTGTGTTGTAATAAATTTAGTATTGTATTTAGCCTTGTCTTTATTTAACTTTATTAACCATCTCCTACAGTATGAAATTACTCTCAACATTTTCTGTAAATTAGAAAACTTAGTCCAAATTAATTCGTCTTCAGTATTTAATAAAGCAGTTAAAACTCTGACTTTCTCTTCTTCTTGCGTGTCCTCGACATCAACTAAATTCATGTTTAGGTCTAGTGCAGACAACCAAGCTGGACCATTCCACCACAGTAACTTATTTATCAACTCTGAGGCCTGTAAGCCTCTTGATGCGCAATCAGCCGGGTTTGTGTCTGTAGTCACATGACCCCATTGCTCATAATCTAGAATGTTCAATATCTCAGAGACTCGGTTGCTGACAAATGTATTCCATCGACTCGCTCCACCTTTTAACCACGCTAGAACTATAGTCGAATCTGTCCATGCGTGTAAATTTTCCTTAGCTATGTTCATTACTTGCGCTGTCTCAAAAATTAGTTTGGCTGCTAGTGTGGCACCACAGAGTTCTAACCTCGGAATAGATAATTGTTTCTCAATAGGAGCAACTTTTGTTTTTGCTGATATTAAATTAACTCTGACTCTGTCTCCCTCGACTACTCGAATATACACAGCCGCCCCATATGCTGCCTGCGAAGCGTCTGCAAAAACGTGCAACTCCATCGCAGACCTGTGTGAACATTGCAACCACCTAGGTATAGAAACATTTTTGATGTAAGTTAAATTATCTCTGAAGTGTAACCATTCTGCTAGTAACTCTCCACTTATGGTGTCTTCCCATCCTAGTCCTTCTTTCCATAACTTTTGTATCATTATTTTTGCTATGACAACAACAGGAGCTATCCACCCTAGCGGATCATACAATTTAGCAACATCAGAAAGAACACGTCGTTTAGTTAT